CATTTGTATATGATTATATAGTCAACATAAACCATGATTTAAAAAGTTAATTTACAACCAACAAACCTCTTTATCGATAACATTTTGCTTGTTGGGCAAGAAAATGCATGGTCTCCTCTATACCACGTACACCTAGATCTTAGAGTTGAAATACCGACCGGATATATTTTGGCAGAATGGATGTATGATTGGAAAGATCAGAAAAAAAAATGATTAAATGAAATCATTTGATGGAATTTAGAAATAATCACTCTAATAGATGATAAAATAAGAGAAAGTATACAATTTAAGTGATCATGTACATATATAAGACCATCAGCAACACTCAAAGAAGTGATTTGTTGTTAAGTTGATAATTAAATTAAGATAGAAAAGGCCAGGGTATAAAAAATATGAGTCAAAGCAATAAAAAATGATTTAGATATTCATATTAATGTATCGATAGTTATGACATTAAATAGAATGAAATAGCAAAACAGTAATCATGTACCCCATCCTATATAGTTGGATAAGGGTTGGATGATGATGATGATGATGAAAATGATAGAATACTTAATTTAATGTACAACCGTTTTAGGTTTTAGCTAGATATCCTTGCATTGGGAACTCTAAGAGGTGTTTAATAATATGGTTGGTTTTGTTTTTAAAAACAAATTAAAAGCAACTCTCATATCAGCAAACATAATTAGTATGTATTATTTATCAACCATCTTGCTGAAAATTTAATAGATCAGCTAGTAGGGTGGGGGTGGGGGCAATTTCCATGATGATKGTTAAAAGWKGTTTGACCAATATCAAAAGTTCAAAACCTCTCTTCTCTTGAATTTTGATGAATACTAGCCTCTTGATTGGTTTCTGCTTTTATGATGCTTTTATTTCTTAACATGCCTAACCAAGAAAGTTGATGGCACCACAACAACTTTTTAAGTCAGGATTGGAAATTGTTTCTAGAGATCATTGTGGTAATCATGTTGCGGGCAAGGCTGCCTTGATTAAAGCATCATTATGTGCCTTGTTAGAGGGATTAATTTGCTCTTTACAAGATCACATTATTTTATATATTTTGGAAGGAAAATGCTGTAAAACTCATCCAAATCCGGACGATTTTGGAATGAGATGCCTTGTTAGAGGGTATAATGACGACGATTTTAAACATTAGTACTTACTTACAACAGATTTGGATCAGGTTAGGTTGTGTATATAAAACGGAAATTAACTGCGCTAGCTAGTTAACACCACATAATGATGGGTAGCGTCATTTTCGCTACTGGTTAGCAAAGCAGATCCGGAATCATTAACAGTTTGTTTTGTTTGAAGGAAAAAGTAGGGAAAGGAAAACCTTTATCGGTCTTGTATGGATTTCTTTACTTTTTCCTTTCTTTCAAACCAAACACAGTCTAAAATCTTGGCTGTAAARAATGAATGCATACATCCTATATACATATCCTACATGCATCATATATATCAATTAAGCCGGCCACTGTATGTTTTAGCTAGACAATTGGCATTGGGCGGACATGTACAATTGTTCATCAATATTGGCATCACGCCAGTATAGTATGTTAGGAATAAGAGACAATTCAATTCCGGTCCATTTCAATCTTTGAAAGTTGTATTACTATAATAACGCTAATTATTATACCAAGCCCGAGATGGATACAGTAGCGTAGGACTGTACGGTTCACCCATCAAACTTGTCTCGTCCACCAACCACTACTATTTATCTGTTGAAACTTGAAAATTAATTTGAAATTGTATGCTTTTCATTGATTCAAGTGAGTCTAATGGTAATGGATCTCAAATGAAACACATGCAGGCACATCTCAGTTGTTGCTTAATTTGTTATTGAAAACAACCCGTTTGATTTTTTTTTTTTTTTGAAATACTAATATGTAATAATTACTGTAAATATACTTATTTGTGATTGATATAAGAATAAATTGTAATCATACAACCCGCTCCACTTTTATTAGCATCCCTCTGATCACTGTATGATGACCCTACATCCTACTTGTCACCTAAGCTATAGCTAGCTTCCATGAAATGTTGATGTTATTGTTTACCCTGTGACTTTTAATTCTTTTAACTTTTCTTTTGCACCTTGATTAATTTGTACCAGTCCAGATTGGCTATCATGATGAGCACTGGGCTGAATAATTTAACGCAAGTGAACATGCATGCATGTCAATGTTTYATATACATGAGCCTCATGTATGTAAAGCCCATATCTTGTGTATGCATGTTCATCACTAGTAAATATGTTGCCCGGCTCTGTGTCTATAATTGTCCCCCCAGTCCCTTTTTAAGCTTTTGTAGTAATTTTTTCTTTCTTGCTCCATAACAACAGTAAGTAGCCAATCCCCAAATTAACCCTGATGCAGATCGATCGATAGGATCCAGTCCCAAGCTTCCGCTGCAATCAAGAGGAGGCCTTACCATGTAATTAATCAGTTGGCACCGGGTGGTGTCGGTGGTTGCCCAAGTAGTGAGGCATCCATGGCCCACTTCTTTTATGGATGATCAACAAATCGTGTCTCTTTAACATTAATTGCAATTGGTATTGATATAATATTATATATAAAATAAAATACTATATAAATTAAAAGTGGTATTAGTAAATTATAGATACCCCTGTACTATGAAGTCTGTCACCCTCTTGTATTTTGTTTCGCAATAAAGATCCTCCTCTACTTTCACCTTGAGACAAAAACTCTCTTTCGTTAGCTTTTCATTYAAATTTGCCGTTATAATATTTTTTTAATCTTCATATTACCCTTCTAAAAAACATTGTTCATCCCAACCCCACCCTCAGGATACAGGAATAGCAGCGACGATAAGGGGAGAGAAAGAGAAATCGAGGATTATCACCGCTACTGTTTTCTACCTCTGCAGTCTTTTCCCCTCACTTTGTTCATCGTGTCTTTGTATTTTTCTCAATATCATATYCGGTTTTGTACTTAACATGTTTACAGGAGTGAATTGTCGAGTCTTCGGCAAAACTTAACCTTCCCTAGATCCGGTCTGGGCTGCGTAGGACTCCAGCTAAATATCGGTGTCATGGAGATTGAGCGCCTAGGCGCGGACATGAATTTGAAAATTAAATCAATTTTAGGTAAGAGATTGGATGGGTTTGGTTGTGGTTGATGATGTGTGATCTGGCAGCTCCCTGATGGAATTTGGCTTGGATGCCGAGCTAGTTAGTTCGTCGGGTCAACATGTAAACAGACAGTGTCAGAGTGCCCAAGTTACTTTACCTAGGGTGGGCACTCCGATGCTTAAGCCAACGAATTGGAGATTTTTGAGAGAATTAGAGAGCTGTGAGAACTAAATTGCGCATAACTTCTGAGGTTAGAAATGAGACCTTTATATAGGCGTTATTTGGCATGGTCTTCACACACCATGTCCAAGATCTCCGGGAAGACATGGCTAATTGGTCCAAAGTCCTCGAAGGTAGTGACGCACGTAGAGTAGGCTTTATGCCTTATTCGGTTTTCTTTGGAAAATTCGGTGCAGGAATTRACTTCCGAAAGACCAGGGAGTGATGGGATGCACGCAGAGGAGGTCAGTGAGTATGTCTCGTAGGTTGCCACGTAGACTTCAATCGGGTCAACAAGTCCATGTGGAGGTCGCTCCTCACATCGAAGTCACTTGGACCAGTAACGATAAGGTACCACAGGTCGGCCCTAGATGAGGTGTTGCTAGCCACACTGTCGAGTTGTCCAAATTGTGTATAACATCACTAATTGGGATTTCATCATTTTGATTAAAACAAATCATTACCTTCAAGGTGTCGAGATATCATCCTATTGTTTTAAAAAGCAACGTGTCATTATGTTAATAGGGGGCCAAATCTGCCCTCATTAGTGATTAATACAAAGAGAAGATTTAAAAAATAATAATTTTGATTAAAAATAACTACACTTGAGAGGAGGTTTCAACAATTTACTTTTTTTTTTTGTATCACTATGGAAATGTTGGAGCATGAAGGCAAGCGTTTATTGCGATCACAATTAATCGAAATGAAGATAATTACAACTAGATGTTTGAAAATGCATGCACAAAACTAATATCTTTGCATTAGCGGTGTTGGAAGGTTTACATCTGGCCCAGATCCTTGAATATGACTAGCGACTGTCGTCAGCTGGTGGGGACGTTTAATTCTGCTTCTAAGAACTGAATTGGGATTCGTTGGTCGCTGGACTGCCATCGCGTTCAGCTAATCCTTACTCCTAAGAACTGCCCCCAGTGACCTACTTTATCAAAGATATACTCGCTGAGTTTTAACTCCTTCGATTTCTCTGGGGCGTATAGAATTGGCCAAGTGCATCTTGGAAGCAAGTCAATAAAATTTAAAATTAATCAAACAAGTAAATGAATGGAAAAAAAAAAAATATTTACGTGGAGTTTATTTAACCACGTGTTAAAAATAAAAACAAATGGATGATATCCGACGCTTCCGAGCCAAGGTGAACGAATTTATTTATTTATTTAATAACATGGTGTTTATTTATTTTTAACCACGTGATAAAAATAAATAAATGAAAAAAAGACGAATGATTTGCTTTGGGGACACTGCATTCAGGCGGGATCTGTCTTCACTCCTCACAGACACATCAACCGTGCATTGAGAACATTGTGCGTGTAAGACGCCTGTGAGACGCAAGGTGTGAGAAGCAGTTTCAGTCTCCATCAAATCAATTCACCCGCACAGCCGTGCTGAAAAAAAACTCCGTAAATTTGACTTTTACCATCAACACTCCGCACCAACTTCTCTTAGTCTACTAATAACCCTATAAACCGCTTCCTACCCGTAGATTTAACATCGATCCACGGACAGATTCATTGCATCTGTTCTGCAAACTTAAGATTTTTAGATGTAGACTGAACGGTAAAAACCCCAAAAAGAAAAAATGTACGCCAATAACTTCCCCGCACATCTCCCACATAAAAAAAAAAAAAAAAATTGTACACTTGTCATCAACTCATCATCAATCAATCTCTACCAGCTGTTAAGTTTAAGAACCCATAGAGCCAGCCTTTGCATCTTCACCTCACTGGGGCAGTCTTTCACTCCTCTCCTCTCTTAGTCCCAAAATGGCCGGCATTAAGGAATCATTTTCCGGAATTTCAGATTCCGGCAGTCGTATTTCCATCTCAAACAAGAAGAAGAAAATCTTCCTCTTTCTCATCGCTTCCTTTCTCCTTGTTGCCTCCGTTATCGGCATCGTCGCCGGTGTCGCATCACGAAAAAACTCCAGCAAAATACCCTCCTCAGCCCATGCCATCCTCAAATCCTCGTGCAGCAGTACCTTATACCCCGACCTTTGCTACTCAGCCATCGCCACTGTCCCCGGTGCAGCTGACAACCTATCAACCCAAAAAGACGTAATTGAGATCTCTCTGAACATTACCACCACAGCCGTTGAGCATAACTACTTCACCATAAAAAAGCTCCTCGCTCACGAGAAACTGACCGAACGTGAAAAGACAGCCCTCCATGACTGTCTTGAGATGGTCGACGAAACCCTCGACGAGCTGCACGAGACAGCGGAAGACCTCAAACAGTACCCTAACAAGAAGTCCTTAGACGAACACGCAGAGGACCTCAAGATACTCCTCAGCGCCGCCATGACCAATCAAGACACCTGCATTGATGGCTTCTCGCATGAGCAGGCTGACAAGGAAGTAAGGAACGCTTTGTTAAAGGGTCAAGAACATGTGTACCACATGTGTAGCAACGCATTGGCCATGATCAAGAACATGACGGACACTGACATGGCCGAGGAAAAGCTGAAGATGGGGAGAAAGCTTGGGGAGAGTACTGGAGAGATAGATGGGTTCCCGGGGTGGTTGTCGGCGGGAGACCGGAGGCTGTTGCAGGCGTCGACGGTGACGCCGGATGTTACGGTGGCTTCTGATGGGAGTGGGAATTATAAGACGGTGTCGGAGGCAGTGGCTGCGGCGCCGATTAATAGTAATAAGAGGTATATAATAAGGATAAAGGCAGGAGTTTATAAGGAGAATGTGGATGTGTCGAAGAAGAAGAAGAATATAATGTTTGTGGGAGATGGGAGGAAGAACACTATCATTACAGGGAGCCGGAACGTTGTGGATGGGAGCACTACCTTCCACTCCGCTACTGTCGGTCAGTAAAATCCTTACCTTTCTGCTTTTTTATTTAATTAAATTAACTTCTGCGCGCTTTCTGTTCCGGACCGGACATACTGACATAGTATAGTCGCGTCTCGGCTCATTTTTTAATGATCTCTGGCATCGGGAGACTAAAGACGCACAGACTGAAAAACCCAAGCGAGTGAACTGCGAACCTAATCAAATGAGCTCGGGAAGGGTAAATGGTAATAGAAATCTGAGGGCCCGTTTGGTTCGAGGGAACAGCGGTCTGGAATCGAAATTCGAAGGGGCCGCTCTGATTTTAACTGTTTAGTTGGGCAGAGACGCAGAGTCGAAATCTCATTCCTTTTTTTATAGAAGGGTATTTTCAGGTTCATTCGAGGGAATTGTCGGTCGTTCCCTATCTCTTCGCTCGGGAATAAAATCCCATTCCATCTGATTTTAATATTCATTCTCATTTCTGTCTAAACCAAGCATTTAAGCACGGCACGGATGCCTTGGATTTCTCCTGTTTAAGCATCCGATATCTGTCGAGCACGGTTGTTTTGGGATCTTGTGGTGTCTCGTATGATCTACCACTTTTTCGGTATTTTCATTCTTTCTATTTCATCTCTTCTTTAGATTAAAAATGAAAAAGAAAACATGGTTGTGTCATGTGTGTCTGTATCTGTTTGGAACTAGATGTAAAATAGGCTAAACTCAATGAAAGGATGGAGGATTAGGCCAAATTTGGGAAAAAGAATATAATGGGGCCAAGTAAAATGTGCTTTTTGCGTGCTGTTGCTGGTTTCGATTTGTTAGGCACGAGATGAGATGCCACATAAAAGTCTAAAGGGGAGTTGGCCTCAACTGGGTTTGAGTCGATTGACTGGTTTTAGTGTTTTTGGGGTTGGGCGAGTCGAGTCCTACAATCCTACCTTATTTCGACGACCATTCCATTCTGGTCTTCTGGGTGCTCCTGTCCTGGAGTTCGGGGGATACAGGAGCCGTAGATGGGTTTGGTGGGCCTATAATAAACGTGTCGTCCTGTTTATCTTTACGAGTGAGTCAAGGAGATGGGTCACGATTGTCGGTACTAGAAGAATTTGATGCGTGGAACACTTGGCAATTATTGGGACCAAATTAAGTCACTAAGACCTAACTTGTGTTGTGTCTAATGGCGAAGAATTTGCCTTTGCCGTGCTTGTTATGTTTTCCTTGAAAGATTGTTAATAAGAGTAGTTTTTTTTGTCTTTGTTCCCATTTTCTTTGGCTACTATATATTGCCAAGATTCAACTAGGATAAAAAAAAAAAGGACCAATAGATTCAACTAAGATTCAACTAGTACTCACTGGATAAGACGATTTCTATTCAGGACCAATAGATTATAAAAAAAAAAAAAGGTGTCAACATTGTTCAAGATCACAATTGTAATGGATTTTTGCTGAAAGGAAAGAAAGAAAAACCAAGATATGAGCAATGCTTATAAGAAGACAAACTTGGATAGGCCCTCACTATCCAAACAAGTTGTCTGTAGGTAGGTGTAGGGTGAAAGAAATCCAAGAATTAATGATACAAATCGGGGTTTGGTTGCAGTTGATTTTGTTAACCATCCACAGTTCCATACCACAAATGGGTGTTCATCCATTCAATTAAACTTGCCACCCTTTTCTCTCTTGCACTTGTTTSGTTACTTAACAGAAAGGAGAATAGTACTAGATCTGTTCATCATAGGCATAGGATTAGGGATAGGATTAACACAACATGAATGGAAGAGCCACGTATCTTACAAGAGGTACAGCAACTCGAGAAAGAAAGAACAAAACAAAAAAAAAAAAAAGGATTTTTACCTTTCAGTCCACCTTAGAATTATTCTGAGGAAATTGAAGGCATGAGCATAAAAGTGCCACGTTTCTTATTTTATGCCACAATGTGTATATATTTTCCTTGTCCTTTTTTATCTCCTATTTTCTCCCGTTGCCCTCAATTTCTTCATACTCGATCTCTATGAGAAAAATTTCGCTCCCGTAGATGGACACGTAGTCCGTCAATTTGAATTGTAACTTTTCCGGTTTCGACTAGAAACCGGCCGGAACTGCTTTGACTATATATCGGTTTTTTGTGTTTAAGGTTGGTGACTGATAACATGATGAGATTATATTGGTGTTAATTGGAATGAATGGTGAGGGATGATGCATTTTGCAGCTGCGGTTGGAGAAGGGTTCCTCGCTCGGGATATAACATTTCAAAACACAGCGGGGCCATCAAAGCACCAGGCCGTGGCCCTCCGAGTTGGGTCAGACAAATCCGCATTCTACCGCTGTGACATGCTGGCCTACCAAGACACACTGTACGTGCACTCCCTCCGTCAATTCTATGTGGATTGTCTGATTGTAGGCACCGTGGACTTCATCTTCGGCAATGCAGCAGCAGTGTTCCAGAACTGTGACATCCATGCCCGTCGCCCCAATTCTGGACAAAAGAACATGCTGACGGCCCAAGGCCGAGACGACCCAAACCAAAACACTGGCATCGTAATACAAAATTGTAGGATCGCTGCAACCTCCGATCTACAAGCAGTTAAGAGTAGTTTCCCAACTTATCTGGGTAGGCCATGGAAGGAATACTCCAGGACTGTAATCATGCAGTCCACCATTAGCGATGTCATTCATCCCGCCGGCTGGCACGAGTGGAGTGGTAACTTTGCACTCACCACATTGTATTATGCCGAGTACCAGAACACTGGACCGGGAGCTGCAACTGCCAATCGAGTTTCGTGGAAAGGCTACAAGGTGATTACAAGTGCAACCGAGGCTCTTCGATTTACAGTAAGCAACTTCATTGCAGGTGGCAGTTGGTTAGGCTCCACCGGCTTTCCCTTTTCTTCCGGTCTTTGATTCTCGTTTTTATCTCTCTACATCTCCATCAACACTTTTTTTCTACCAGCTGTGTCAAGTTTTTCATTATATATTGTATCGATCGATTACTCTTATTAGTATCACAATCTCCATCGGTTTCTTCGCTTTCTTTTATTTCCTGTTCGATTACAACTACAGAAGTACAGAACTACTGTTGTGTGAATATAATATAATTTTTATTTTATTTAAAAATGAACTTAAATTGCACGTGATACTATAACTATAAGTGGGCTGAAAAAGAAAAAAAGTTGGTTATTCTATTTGTGGCATGGGTTGAAATCTTGGAATCAGTTTCTTTATATGTGCTAAGAAAGACTTCCTAAATCCCGCATTGATGGAAGGAGCTTCGTGCATTGGGCTGCTCTATGATTTTATGCCCTCATGATGTCCGGATGTGTGTAGAGTGAGTACATATATTAAAATAAAGTTATTTAATTAAGAATTATTTTAAGGAATGTATACAAGAAACAAATGAGTTAATTACCTTTGAACCTTGATATCAGGACCAATGAGGCAATGAATAGGTTATACATAACTAATTTTTCTATTTTTAAGAGCATGAAAATTTTGACTAATTTTTATGCATCGAAAGATAGAGAAACAAATGAGTTGTACAGTAGATTAATTGTGTATACTCTGAGGCATGCTTTTGTCATTTGTGTGTATTATTGTCATTTCGCTTTTGTGACATTATTCATTCTTGAATAAGATAAATTGTTTACGTTATTTGAGGCATCTCTGCAACCTTAGAGTCAGGAACCTGAGGAAAATTTCTTTTTTCTTTTATCCTTTCGTGTTAATACAAGGAAGAAGCCAAGAACATACTGCATCATACAGGCCGGGAGAGCTTCCTACATGATTCCCCTATTTCTACCATGTGGATGTACTATATATGGCTGATCAAAACTATCACCAAACTTTGAAGGAAACAAAAAAAAAAAAACAGGGGATCTACTGCATTCTCTTTATGTTTGAGAGCAGCTTGTTTTGACAAATGACAATAACACCTGTGAGCCAATCACGTGTGGTTAATGCAGCCTAGAAGCTCTCTCTCTCCCCCTATATATATATATAAGTAAATAACAAAATAAAGTGCATTATAGTCTGATTTGGTAACCTGATAATTTGCTGAAATTAGTTTTTGATAGTACCCGACCTTTGAGGTGGGACATTTGGCATAATCTAATAAAATTTGAAAGAATTGATTTTGTCCTGGGTTTATAACAAATGAACCCTAATATTTACTAACTAAAATGTTTTCATAATAATTTCTGCATTTTATTAGATATAGCGTGTGTTTTATTTAGTGAGCGTTTATTAAAATGCTGCTTTGTCATTGTCAAATCATTATTTTTCCTATCATATTCATTTGTGTATATTGACATTCATAAAAGCGGGTTTTGCTTTATGTGTGCACCAACCATTAGGGAAATTTCATATTAACACTTCTCCTAAGGTTGAGCGTTTATTCACTGTTCTGTTGGTGTGGCACCTAGTGACGCCTAGTTGTCTATAAACAGTTTGTCAAGTACTTTTCTTGGTTTTGAAAGACAAATAAAATACAAATGTTTACGAATTATAAAAATAGTTTTAATAAAAAAGATTTATACACGCCACCATGATTGATTTAATTTGATATTAACACTCTATGATTGATTTAATTTGATATTAACACTCTACGATTGATCTAATTTGATATGAACGCACCATGACACTAGATTTAATTTGATATAAACACACCCTATGGGGGGACCTCTCACCCTTTAACTTGGTTCCGCCCCTGCGGCTTTCATGAATCAATATTTGAGATTTAATCATCTATAACTATAACTGAATTGGGATAGGTATTACAATGTCCATGCCTATTGCCTTGTAAGGTCTAATTCAATCTGGGCCTCCTYCAACCTTTCCAATCGTAGGTCTCAATCCCAATTAGGGGTGGATTCGAGTCGAGCCAAATACTTGGTTATTCAAGCTTGGCTTGCTGAAATTATGTAAGGCTTGAGTTCGGTTTGGTTCAAAATTTGCAAGTCCGAGTTCGACTCGAGATCAATTACAAGTTTTTTTTTCTAAAAATAAAAATAATACATATAAAAATATTTTTTATTTAAAATTAAGAATTATAAAAATTATTTATTATTATACATATAAAAAATAAAAAAAATATACATATAAAAATGTTTTTATTTTACATATAAAAAATAATAATTATAAAAATTATTTACTATTGTACATAAAAAATAATAATTATAAAAATTATTTACTATTGTACATAAAAATAATAATTATATATAAAATATTATTATATATATAATAAAAATTATTTATTATTTATTATATATTTATATGTTTATATGTATATGAATATGTATATGTATATGTATGTATGTAATAAAAAATTATTTATTTGTTATACTAGGCTTAATTAGGATCGTGAGCCTCACGAACCAAGTTTTATTGGGTTTAAGCTCGGCTCGATTAACAAACGAGCCTATATATTAGACTTGAGCTTGACTCAAAGCTCAGTTTAAACTAAATCAAGCCGAGCTTTTCACAAGTCGAACTCGCATAACTCATAAGGAACTCGGCTCGTAGCCACCCCTAAGCACAGAATTAGAGAGGAGCTAAAGTAAAAAGGTCCAGGATCATCAGGCTTCAACTTATTGGCCTACAAGATAGCCCAGCAGGAAAGCCCACTAAGTTTAGATGGATTTGGCTGACACCACAACTTCACTCTAGAATTCAAATGTTATAAAAGCGATATTAATTTGGCAACCTATTAATGAATCAGATGCCTTGACCCAAGATCCTTGCCAAGACTACCTTTACCCCAAACTTGACACCTGGTTATAGGATCTAATAATAAGGCTTGGATGCGGGACGAGAGAGAGAAGGGTTCTTTCTAATCGAAAGAGATTCAGGTTGGATGGTTCACTATAAAAATATATACAGAGATAAACTAATTAAGCGGCAGACTGGATAGACTGTGGCCGCACATCTCATAATACAGGAAGGCGAGGTGTTAATATGGGTAGAGAGTAGTTGGCAGAAAATCCGGTTTGAGCTGAAAGATCTTGTAGAACTTCTAAATTTTAGATCTTAATTCAACTTTCATTATATATATTAATCCTATGTTTTATTAGTATTTGTTTGTTGATGTTTTTATTGGTTCTTTAAATACAAAATTCAGAAAAAAAAGTGTTTGAAATGACTATAGTTTATTATGATGACTTATAATAGATCTTTTATGGGTAGCAAGATATGGGTGGCATATACAACAAAGAGGAAATAAAGAATAAAATATTCAGAAAACATAAAATATGTTATCAAGGTTTTAGTGTTTCCAATTAGAATTAAGTGAAGTGATTATCTTAAATGAAATAAATGATAGTATGTGGTAGTGGCTATATAACTATCATGCATATAAGCAAATCAATGTATGTCATGTATATAACATATATTTATATATGATATGTACTATAAAGTCGGGTTCGGGTTGGGTTGGTTTGCCCAAGTGGTCAACCCTAACCCAACCTAAAGTAAAGTCGGGTTCATAAATTTCAACCCTAACCCTAACCCGAGCATCAACCCGACCCAACCCAACCTAACTTTTTCGGGTTGGGTTTGAGCTAACCCGACCCAAGTTGCAGCCTTAGTTTTTTGTCAAAAAATAAATAATTAAGTAAATGGACTGGAAGGGGAATCACATTCCTTGGCATAGGGTAGGGAATGGCCATTCCCCCATACGGGGGACTCAATCAAATCGTAGGGTAATTCCGATTTCGATTCTACAGTCCTATTCCCTCTAACCAAACACACCCTAAGGTCTTGGATGTTATGTTCACATAAAGCTTGTTTGGTATATATATAACAAAGCGGTCAAGAAATTTTCTCATTTTTCTCATTTTTTGTTTTTATATTCCATGTCATTTTTGAAACAACCAATGAGATGCACTTTTCTAATAACCTAAATAATCACTTCTCCTAAAATTTATCCTAAACTACCTCCCCCACTTTCTCTAGAATTATCTCTAATTCCAATTTATCCTCTCCCCTACTTTTTATCTTTATCTATCTAAACAAAGTTTGGTTTAAAAAATTTAATAATTATTTAAATATTCTAAATAAATTAAATAATAACTTTAAAATATTTATTAAAAATACAAAATATATCACTAAATTATGTACTAAAAAATTAAACTATGTTTTTCCGAATTATCAATTTAAAGATTTTTAAAATATTTAATAATATGTAATCACTTAAAAAAAATAAAATTCAAATAACAAAAAAAATATAACTATTTTATAGATTATTTAAATATTTATCATAATAGAATTTAAATAGTTAAAATAACGGAATTATGTAAAAAATTTAAAAAATTTCTTCGAAGTAGAAAATAATTATTATAATATTGAAATTAATAATAAGTTAATATATTAGAAAATTAATAATGAAGTTATGTAATAATATTATAAATTATGATTTTATGGATAATTAAATTCAATAAATAATTATTTTTTTAAAATTTAAATATTTTATATTTTACTAAAGTATTTAAGTAACTAAATATTTTAATTAACAAAATAGTTAACATAACTATATTTTAAATAGTTAAAATAAAGTAGTTATGTAATAAATTTAAAAAATTCTGGAAAGTAGAAAAGCAATTATAACATAATATTTAAAATAATAATAATTTAATATATTTACATAACATTGTAAATAACTAATTTCACTAATATCAAGTAATAATTAGAGAAAATAACTTTGAAAAAATTAATATTTAACAATAATAATAATTTTAAACTCTTAATCTCTATTTATTATACAATTATATATATTAAATTAATATTTATTTCAGTTCAGTAATTATTTATTGTTTTTTGTGATAAATGTATTTTCAAAATTATATATACATAAATTATCTCTAATTCCTATTTATCCTCTCCCCCACTTTTTATCTATATCTAAAGAAAGTTTGGATTAAAAACTTAAGAATTATTTAAATATTCTAAGAAAATTATATAGTAATTTTAAAATATTTATTAAAAACACAAAAAAATAATTTTATTTTTTTACAAAATATATCACAAAATTATGTACAAACAATTTA